AGTCTGAACGTAGCCTTAGTCCGCTGACGTATGAAAGCTGTTTCTATACATCATTTGTGTATTTCTGTGCAGCTCAGCTCCAGTCCTGTAGGTGGTAGTAATACATAGTATTCAATTGTTACTTTACAGATTTTTCCTGTTTTGTTAAAGATCAAATAATAACTAGAAAAATCACAGAAAAAAATCTCTTTACATGTTAATTTTAAAAAGAAAAACGGCCAAGTCTTTAAATAATGTCCACATCAAAAATCTGTATTTTTATCAATGATTTTCTTTTAAAAAACTACACTTTTTCTACTGTATTTAAATCTAATTATTTAACAGATATTTACTGTTATTGTAAAAATGTAAAAAGTCCATTAAGGACTGAAAGATGCAGAATTAATTTTAAACTGTTATTTTACATATTTTCCTTGTTTTGTTAAATTGCAGATAATAAATAGTAAAATCACAGAGAAAAAAAATTACACATTGATTATAAAAAAGAAAAAACAAGAAACGGGTCAAAGGTGTACATAATCTCCACCTAAAAGACTGCTAGTTTTATAAATAGTAATTAACTGTTATACAAGGTGTGACTGTAAAGTTATGATGTTTTACATTATTTCAATCAGAAAAAAATATAGAATTATTTTTGAATGATGTGCATTTTTTTTCTGACATCCTTGCTGCCACATTTTCTTTTTATTTTATTGTATTGTATTTTTTGTTACAGTGTGCCTGTCAGAGTGCATTGTGGTTATTGTATTCACCAGGTTACGGCAAAGAGTTAGACTAAATTCTTGTTACTTTTCAAATGCCTGCAAATGCAAATTATTATTGATTTCGACATATATATACTGTATATAATATTATATACTAATAAACAGAATTGTTCATTTGTATAAAAAGCTGCAGAATGACCCTTTTCTTCTTTTATTTGCTCAGTTATGAGTAAAGTTTCACCTGGCGGCTGAATAACTGACACTCTCCTGTAGAAGTGAAGCTGCGTTAGTTGTTGTTCCACACAAACACTCATTAGAGCTGCGATTAACCCTGAACAACGTGGATCAGCGATTAAACAGAGCTGAGAACATGTGAAGCGGCTCCATTGCAGCCTGATAACCAGCGCTTTGTGGATAATTGACATTTCAGAGCAGGTTAGTGTTGGCTGCAGCAGCAGGTGGATGAATACTGATGCTGCCGTTAGTCAGACGCTTTAATTACATTTTAGATTCACGTCTTAATCAGCAGCAGCTCGTGGACACATTCAGCCGTTTTCCCCTTTTTCCTCTCTTTTAACCTTGAAAACGATGAATTAAAACTTATGTCTGAAAGTCACAGAACAAAGTTTCTGCTGTAAACAGCAGTCGGGCAGCACAAAAAAAAATAATGTTTTCACCGTATTAAAAGAGAAGAAGTACGGTTATTTTACAGATCTGTTAAACTACAGGTGACTGGTCAAATCACAGAAAGAAAATCTTAATTTATATGTTAATCTGACAAAAAAAATGGGGAAAAAAACGGGCTAAAAATGGAAAATAATGTCCAGTTTAACTGTAAAATTACACAATTTTACTGTATTTGAATCAGCAAAACCACTATTTTACAGATATTTTCCATTATTTGAAAGATAAATTATAGATTAAAAAAATGGTAAATATTTATTTTTTCTGTTATTTCAATGATTTAGCCCGATAAAATCTCATAAAATCATAGAAAGTATAATTAATTCACATGTTAACTGTATAAAAAAGGCTAAAATGTACATAGAGTCCAAAATCTTTTACAAATCATGTTGTTTTAAAATGTCTGACTGAAAAATGATGCTGTTTTGCTCATTTTAATCATCACAAATTCTTCTTATTTTACGTATTTTAGTTCATTATTTTAAAGAAATATTATGAATATTAAGGATAGACTGATTTTTGATGTGGACAATACAGTCAGCATGTACATGAACACCTTTTATTACTGATTTAATAGATATTATCTGTAAAGTAGCAGTTCAAAATTGTTCTAAAAACTTCTTTTTCCCAGGGGCTGTGAAGGCAGCAGGGAATCAAATCAATCAAACATGTGGGTTGAGTTCAGGTTCACCTGTGAGCTGAATATATTAGAGCCTGCAGGGGGAAAAACCTGCACCACAAGGCGACAAACTGCAGATTTTTTAAGATGGAAAATAACACGAAGACAAGAAAACGCAGTTACTGAGAAACTACTGATAGCTGGGTGACGAGTTGTTTTTAGATTTCAGAGACAATCCAACATGAAGCAACACAATACACGTAACTCTCACTATTAAAGTGATGCGCTGCCTCTGAGTGTTGGTGTTTTTAGGCCACAAGCAGAGTTTTGAACCAACATGCAGCTAAATGAGTGCATGAAGTTGTGGTGAAACTTGTGGAGCAGCAGCTGTTGGGCAGCTTCTGGATCAGCTGCAGAGGGACATACAGCAGAGATACAGCAGAGCAGCTGGAGAACACCTGCATACTTCACTGTGCAATAAGAAACTCTTAATACCAGCAGATCCCTGTTAGACTGAAGAAAGTGATGCAAATTTACGCAAAAGTGTTGTTATAAAGGTTTAAATGTAGTAAAACTGCTGCTTTTTTCTATTTACTTTCAATCTAATGAAACAAAACCAGTCCAATGTCAAACTGGTTTAGTGTTAAACTGCCCATCAGCTCAAAGAGTTAGAGGAGCTGAGAGGATCATCAGAGTTTCCCTCACCTCCATACAAGAACTTCTCCAGAGCAGCAGCAGGACTCTGAACATTGGACTCCTCACAGCCTCTCCATGAACTGTTTAAACTGCTCGAACATTTCCAGAGCGTTAAAGGAAGAACCTCCAGACTGATCAACAGCTTCATTCCACAAGCTGTCAGAATGCTGAGCTGCTGATCCAGATATGCAAACACTTACTTATTTAAATTGCTTTAAGTTATTGGATCCTGGAGAACCCCTCCCTCATCCTGCCTGTACTACTGTGTACGTACAGCAACATGACAATAAGCTTGATCTGACTTGATTGATATGAACCACACTGAATGTTTGCAGTCTTTCTCTGCAAACCCTCAGCGTTCCCTTCCTCCCATGTTGGCGTCTGGAACCCGAAACACCTCCAGTGTCTCGGTCAGTTCTGGTTCTGGATGACGCCGGGTTCTGGTTCGTTTTTGCAGCTGCTAATCTGTGACCTGAGATCTGATAAACGGAGGAAAACACCATCAAACCTCCTTTAAATTAAACTCCAGAGGCGGCTTCAAGTCAGAATAAAGCAGCAAACATCAGTTCATTCAGTGACCACACCTCCTCTGACAGATGTGTAGAAAAACTAACGTGATCTATCAGATTGTGAATCGAGGACGTGATGAGACACGAGTGAAGTTTTCAGGTTTTTATCTTTAATAGTTCCTGAGACATTGTTGTTCAAATTTTATTGTGAGAAAGAAAAAAACAGCTGAAAGTGTGTCGACATTTTGCCTCTTTGTGGTTATTTAGTGACTCTTTGTAGAGAATTTGTGTATCTTTGTGTTCACTTTCTGCCTCTTTGTCACCATTTTGTGTTTGTTTGCTGTCTTTTAATGGCTTTTGTGTTCACTTTGTGTCTCCTTTTGTAGATGTTTTTGTATCATTGTAATCATTTGTGTCTCTTTGTGGCTGTTTCTTTGTGTCTTTTTTTAAATGTTGTGTTTCTTTGCTCTAATTTAATAACTTTTGTGTTCATTTTGTGTGTCTTTGTGGCCATTTTTTTGTCACTTTGTCATCATTTTGCGTTTATTTGCTGTCTTTGAACGGCTTTTCTGTTCATTTTGTCTCTTTGTTGGCGTTTTATGGCTCTTTATAGATATTTTTGTGTCTTTGTGGTCACTTTATGTCTCTTTGTAGATAATTTGTGTCTTATTGTGTTCACTTTCTGTGTCTTTGTCATCATTTTGTGGCGTTTTAACTGTCGTTTATGGCTTTTGTGGTCACTTTGTGTCTCCTTTTGTAGATGTTTTTGTATCATTGTAATCATTTGTGGCTCTTTGTGGCTGTTTTTTTGTCTCTTTTTCCGTCATTTTGTGTTTCTTTGCTCTAATTTAATGACTTTTGTGTTCATTGTGTCTCTTTCTAGGCATTTTATGGCTCTTTCTAGGTATTTTTTGTCTCTTTGTGGTCAGTTTGTGTCTGTAATTGTTTTATATCTCATTCTACATATTTTTTTTGTCTCTTTCTAGATAATTTGTGTATTTTTCATCATTTTATGTGTTTTTGCTTTTGTTTCATGGCTTTTTTTGTTCATGTTGTGTCTCCTTTTGTAGATATTTTTGTATCTTTGTAGTCATTTGTGTCTCTTTGTGGCTGTTTTTTGTCTCTTTTTTTCATAATTTTGTGTTTCTTTGCTCTAATTGAATGACTTTTGTGTTCATTTTGTCTCTTTGTAGGTGTTTTATGGCTCTTTATAGATATTTTTGTCTCTTTGTTGTCCTTTTGTGTCTCTCTGTAATTGTTTTATGTCTCTTTGTGAGCTTATTTTTAAAAAATAATTCTGTTAGACCGCGGTTCAAAAGCAATGTCTGTTTTTCATTGGCTCATTTTCATAGAATTTTTACTTATTATTACTTTTGTCACATTCAAGTCATTTCTGTGACCGTTGTGGGTTTTTCTTTCATTAACTGAGGGGTACCAACTATTTTGTCCACATGTATACATATTTTGTGTCTCTTTGTACATATCGATAATCAATGAGAAATAACAGTGAACATTTCCGGTGATGCTCATTTTCTCTGTTTTTCTTTCTCCACTTTCTGCCGTCATTTCCC